CCTGGAGAGCCTGCCCCGCGTTGTAAGCGCCCTGGGTGACGTAGCCGAGCAAGGCCGTGGCGAGGTCCCCGGCCGTTTGGTAGCCTGCGGCTTGCAGCGCTGCGAGCAGCGCCTCGGCAGCATCCAGCCGCCCGTCCCTGAGGGCCAGGGCGGCATCCAAAGCCGTCTGTTGGACGAAGGGCAGCAAGGCCGTGACGATGAGTTGGCTCACGTCGGCGGGTCCTGAGAGCCACCGCAGCCGTGACATCGCTGGTGCTGGCCATTGGGGAGCAGGGCCGGCCACGATGCTGACATTTTGGCCCTGCAGAACGCCGAGCCCTTGCGGCGATGCTTCACCCTTCCTTCACGCCCGACTTTCTGCTCGCAAGATGGGTGATGACCCGGCTCAAGCCTCCCTTTCAAGCTCCTTCAAGCTTCCCTTTGAGTCTCCCCCAAGGGGCACCCTTAATTAAGCCAAGCCCCCCCTTGAAGCCTCCCTTGAAGCCCCTTCGAAGACCGTTGAAGGGAATCAACGGGGACTTTTGGGTCCTCCCCTTTAGAGGGTCTTAAGGGAGGGGCTTCAAGGGGGCTTAAGCCCCCTTCGTCCGAAGGCGTGGGACCCATACTGCATTTCTGTGACCTAGCAAGCAAATTACAAGTGGAATTCAAGCAGCAGCATTTTTATTTTGTATTCAATTGGGGTTTGTTGTCTATCGCCCAGAAGGTTGAGAACGAAAACGGCTATATTTTTTTCAAAAAAGCGAGCGAGGGAGGGAGCCATCCCATCTATTTGCCAACGTCCTTGCTTTGTTTAGATAGACTTGCACTGCCAGCACATGAGACAGCACTCGTCTCCTGTGAGCATCTGTAAGAATCGAGGCTAGCCCAGAGGACTCGGTATCCGCCACTGTTGTGTTGGCGAGGCTGGAATTAACATCGTACTCAGAGGCTCAGAGACTCGGCTTTGGAATGTTCAGTTCGCTCTGATGGCTGTTCAGTTTTTCGTTTTCAATGTACTGTAGTTTTCCCTGTCAAAAATTTTTCTTGAGACGTTTCACCATTCAATTTTTGATCAACAGGTTTGTGCTCAGTGAATTGATTCAGTCAACCGTCAACTGTGTCAGACTCAGTGTTGTTTTTCCACTCTGCATTTTCGGGACTTGCCAACTCACAGTGGGCTTCGACACAGACCTTTTTGATTTACATCGTACAAGATTCCGAATGCGTTTTTAAACCTGGAGAATCTGTGTCGCAACTGATCAGTTTTGTGGTTGCAGACATTTTGCGTCAAGGTTGGGATTAGTTTTGCACATCATCTTGGCGAGCAGCGGGGAGCCATGACTCTGACGAAGCGAAAACACACATGGAGCCTTTTCACTTGTGACTGACAGAGAACAGTTGATTGACTGTCCATGAGCGTGTCCATCCGGAATCCCTGCTGTTAGACGAAAGTCTGCAGCAGGTTTCAGGCTGGCACAGTGAGTGTGTGTGGGTATGTGCAATCGCGATACGTTTTTATGTGTTGGTGGATAGATGTACATTCAACGTCATACGTCATAAAGGTGTTTGTTTTGCGTTGTATAGCGGACCTATCAGATTGTATCCGCAACATCCTGCATGTGAGATTGCTTGACGTGCTTCTCGTTGGTTGTATCTGGATGTTGTGATCAGGAATCAAGACGTCAATGCCACTGTTTTTCCTTCGTTTCGCCCGAACAGGCGCCACTGGCCGCCATGGCGAAGAGGAAAAACAAAGTCAAACGAAATCCAAAGGGCAGCTGGCCTAGTCTATGGGTTGTAAACTTCAATGTTTTGCGTCACTTCAAGAGTCCCTCCGTGGCTGGTACATCATCTACATGAAATCTGGAAATGTCTGTGTTGAGGGTGTAGCACTCATCCAAGGTGGCATCAAGAAGGGTGACAAGATTCACGGCCAAAAGAAGGGAAAGAAAGGTGAAGCTGCCGCCTACGTGACAAGAGCACAGGCTGGATGGGTCGCAAGAATTGTGATGTTCGGCAATTATCAGGGCTTGGATGTTGGAGTCATGGGTGTGCAACTTTGCCGGTTGGCCGTCGTGATAGAGTTTGTGTTGCTGCAAGTCAGAGTCGCTTGCCTGTTGATCGCGTACCGATCAAGGCCCTGGCGAGATTGCAAATTCCGCTGGCGGACTTCCGAAAGCTTTGTATTCTGAAGGCAGGAACCTTGAATTTCGTGCAGTTCTTGATTCATATATGGCTGCAAATGCTATATCTCTCAATCGCCTACAAATGCACTGCATTCTCGAGTGCCTGCTTGCAAAGTACAATAGTTCGTTGAGCACGCGCGATCTTTTGACATTGCTCATCATCAGGCTCACGGCCACCCACGGCCTCCCCCGAGCCACATCAAATCCCCGTCCAGGGCATCTATCCGCGGGATCCCAAGAAGAAGGCCCATGGCAACGACAAAACGTATTACCATCAGAAAGACATTGCCTTTTTGAGGCATGAGCAGGGCACTCAAACTTTTCCGACAGCCCTTGCCGTATTTTTTAGGCCCTCGAGAGTGCGAAGTCTGAGGCCATTGCTCAACAAGTTCTTCGAAATGAAGACTTTCATGAAGAAGTGTTCTTCTCAGATGAATCCGCCGGTCGGCCTTGCCTTGCGACAACTTTGTCCCGAGGTTCAAGCGGCTGATGGGTCGACGAGAAATAAAGACTGCTAGACGCTTCGAGGAGCCACCAAACAGAATGCCATCTTCGTTAAGCTTTGTCGTTTCAGGATGAATAGCCGGACAGAGTTCCACACACTATGAGTTGCATGCATTGAAAATCATGGAAGCAAGCCTCATTCCTGCCAATTAAAGACTGACCGCTGGAATTCCTCATATTCAGAACGGCATTTCGCAATTGAAGACCAGGCCTCGGCACAGGAACTGGATTAAGGTCGTGCTAAGCCGCGCGGGAGTCGTGTTATTCCCGACCAGTGCAAATATGCTCCAATCAACAATAAGTGGGCTCTGAGTAAGACCTTGCATCAACTCGGAGGCGTCAACGAAGCTTAGATGCCCACACCGTTTCATCGGTTTGTATGCTCAGGAGCGAAAGCCAAAGTACACGCTTCATCATCTTGTGCGGGAAAGGCCCGCATGGGGTCTAGTACGCTGCTTCAGTGCGTATGGGTCGTCAGCCGCTGCGCACGACACAGGATGACCTAGATAGTGTGAAGTCCTGTGACTTGACACGCTCTGAGTCAGGACTTGTCATTTGGCAGAACAGCATTGTGCAGGTATCCATCCTTTGATGACGCCGTCCGTGATTTGGACGATGCTGCATTGCTCTTGGATTTGCTGCCAGTAGCTTGAATTTGTCAGTGGCTTCTGTTTGCATCGACGCCAGTGCACAACAAGGTGAGTATGCTGGCTCTTTTCCAGTCGCTTTCTGCTGACCAGGCCATGCATTTGTTCGATCTGCCTGCATCAGACATTGGGCTTGAACTAACGTGCGAGCGTGGTAGACCGGCGAGGAGGGTCGCTGCTCCGCCTGTTCTTGCCGAGTGGTGCAAATATACGGCTTTTTGGGGGCATCATCATACAGGCTGTGCCAGCAACATCTTGGTGCGAACAGGCATTGATCCGCTTCCCAGTACACTGCTTTCCCAATATTGGGTAACGTGCTGGCTTGTAACCCGCCGATCTCCAACAAATTGACGGGCAAACCGAGCATGCTTGAGAGCGCTAGCTTCGACACATGAGCCATCCCAAAGCAAAGGGCAAGCAGCATCAAGCTACACACGAAGATGCTGAACTGCATCTTCATGGATCAACATCCGCCCGCACCTATTCAACCTCTTCAGAGGTTGTGAGAAAGTCGGATGAACATGAGCCATTCTGTGTGAATCCGAACCGAATTTGCGAAATCTCCCCACGGCCGTTTCTATGAAGACATGAACCAAGCAACTTTAGGCTCCGAGTGTTCGGGGTCACAGGATGGCACAGAGGCGTGTTCGAAAGGTTGTTTTTCTGTCTGCTCCCGATGAACACTGCCCAAAGATGCAGCCAGTGCAGGCCAAGGACATACCCGTCGAGGCCATTACCGAAGCAACGCAGCTGTATCAGGAGCGATTGGCTGACGTTATCTGTTCATGGGGATAGCCGAACATCTTCATGCTCTCCCACAGCAGTTCAGGAATTCCAGCTGTACGTCATTCGTGCACAGGCCTGCTTCATTCAATTCAATCTGAGCAGTAATGGGTTTGCAGGAGATCTTTTGGGAGTTATTATCAGAAGTGCTACCAGCCAGGGCAAAACTATGTTGTTGGTATAGTTTCCCAAAGCTGAGAGATTCATTTGCCAAAGACAGAGTGCAACAATTTTCCATTTACTGTCATGTTGCGTTTGTCGCCCAGAATCGTGCTCCAATAACACCGGCACCCAAACTGTTCACCCTTCCGCGCCTTCTGGCAAAATTCGGGTCTGCTGTGGTTGTTTGGGCTCGTGGTGTGGTCCTCGTTCTCGAAGCGTTTTCGGTGGCTCTCTTGTGTTGCCCTGGGACTTTTTTACGTCCTGCTTCCTGCGCAGACCGTCCATTCGGATCCGTGTGGCTCTTTAGCGACTTTTGCTTGGACACTGTCGGCTTCTTCGGTCTCAATGCCTCTATGTATAAGTATGGCTGGCTTCAGCCTTCTAAAGGCGAGTACTTTACTACAGTCTCGACCCATTGCATTCTGCATTTCCCAAAGATGGCCTAACGGGTGCTCAAATTTTCTCGATCCCTCCTACCTTCCTGCCATCTTCACAGGCGCCATGTCACATGCTGATCAGGTTTCACGGGCAAGGGCAGGGCCAGGATCAGGCCGAGACAAGGGCCTGGATCGACGAGACGAACCAGTGCCTTCCTTGCACCAGCGGCTGCTAGGAGCACAAGGAATGGTGATGATCAGGGAGGCCCTGCAGGTGAAGGTTGGAAAACCAATGAATCCAGAAGTTAAGAAAACTAAATCGTGATTTAACTGTTCGGTTTTGACCTACCTGGGACCATGCAAAGACACCTTTGTCGAGCTTCAATTGTGTCTCTATGCATTTCTCTATAAGCAGTTAAATCATGATTTTTTTTGTCTCGCTGCATACCAATAGAATCTGCTTAGAGACTTGTGCCAGTTCGCTGGTGTGATACCACATTACATCATGACTTAGTTGCGTAATTTTGCGTCATTCTTGGTAACCACCAGTAATGTAGTTGGTTCCTAGCGCGTTCGAAGGAATGCTACCGGGAGCCACATTAAATCAGAATTTAATTGCGTAGTTTGGCGTCCTTCTCCCACCAGTAATGTAGTTGGTTGCTACCACATTCGAAGGAATTCTACCGGGATACCATATTAAATCATGGTTTAATTGCGTAATTTGGCGTCCTTCTCTTGATAACCACCAGCAATGTAGTTGGTTGCTATCACGTTCGAAGGAATGCTGGCCTAAATAACCCCTAAGGGCGAAGCCAGGCATAGGGTTTCGCCGAGGTCCCCAAATAAGGCAGGCAGGGTTTAGGGCGCCCAGGGCGCGCAGTGTGTAACATTATTTTTTAAAGCCCCCTCATCAGGAAAAAGCTGGGCTTAGGGTTTAGTCTAGTGCTAGGTTAGGTTGTTTCCCCTTTCCCACAATGGAGCAAAGGACGTTGCAGCCCTCCTTGCAGGTATTGTCCATCTTCCTGAAATAGGCCAGCACCTAGGCGGGAAGCCTGCCCGTACCTGGCGAAAAGCACCATTGGCGGTCTCTGTGTGATCTCCTGGTGTTCTCGTCGTGGTCTGGCGGTGTCCTGGGTGCTGCTGGAGGTCTTCTGGTAGTCTCTCGGTGGTCTCCCGGGAGTTTCCCTGTGGTCTCCTGCCGGTCTCCTTCACCGCTGTTGCGGTCCCGAGTCTCTTCCTGAACGATTTGCTTCCGAATCCTTTCCTGATCGGTTCAGTCCCCCCGAGACAGTTCCCGCAAGATTTGGGCCGGAGGCCTTTCGCGATTTGGTCTTGGCGGCACAAGTGCAGTGAAGGGGGAACCATGATCAAACTGGTTTCCCGCCGTGTCCGGCCTCAGTATCCTATGGCTGCAATGTTGGCCCTTCCCGGTGCACGTCAAACCATGCACCTGGTATCTGGTAGAGTTGGAAGAAAAGGAGATTGCCAACATCAACTTCAGACTGGGAACTCCGATTTGGTTTGGTATATCAGGACAGCCTTACTGGCTCAACCGGCACAGTTCGGTTTTCGAGATGCAAACTGTTTGGTGAAATGCATCTCGGGCGCGAACTTTGCATCTCGGAAACCCAGCGTTGCATGTCGAACGCCACAGTCACGTGATCAGAAGCATGCGGACCCTGCATTTCACCACAAAAACCTTGAGCCTGCAACAAGGGTCTTAAGAGGCAATTACGTAGTGAGTTAATTGTTGCGTTCTTGCCAACTGTTCAAAGACAATTAAGCTCCGATTTAGTTGTTTCAGGTTAGGTCATTGATTCAGAACCCTTAAATCTTGATGTAATTGTCGTCCCGGGTTCGGGTAATGTAGGTAAAAGAATTAAATCATGGCTTAATTGTACCGTGCATGGAGCAGGACAGGCGTGGAATAGAGCGTCGTGTGACATTCAGGGGTAAATTAAATCATAAGTAAACTGTGCGGGCCTGAGGGGCCGTAGGTCAAAGCCGAACAGTTAAATCGTGATTTGTTTTTTCAACTTCTGGATTCAAGGTTGGCCCCGTCTGCTGGCCCCGCCTTGCAGACAGCATTCTCACAGATCGGCAACGAGCTTGTGATAGCTCGTGAAAAATGCCATGAAGATCAAGACAATGGAGCACGAGTCCAAGATGCTCAAGTTTCGCACTGTCTGGATATGAAAAAGCCTCACGTGTTGACAGATCGAGGCAGCCAAAGGGCCCTTGTGGTGATTGGTAAATTTCCCGGACTGGCGAGAAGGCTTGCCAGCAGAATGGCTCCATGTAGTTTGGAGGGCCCCTTCCTCGCCTCGAGCCGCATTCTCACAGTCCGACTTACACGACCTGGAAGAAGATCATGGATATGTGCTGCCGTGTTGTTGTTCACTACCGGCACAAGGCGCAGCTGGACGTAGACACCAACAAGCCAGCAGGCGAGGAGGAGAACAAGGAGAAACCCGTCCAGCACACCGGCTCCGGCATGAGATCAGAGGCCTCCACCGACGACAAGCAGACCGATGACAAACCAACTCCGCACAGTCCTCATAGGAGACCTGATGAAGACCTGGAATTGTAAGCTCCCGGGTCAAGCTCGCTTTCACATCACTCAGTTTGAGAAACGCCTTAGAGCCCCCATGCACGGGTTGCTGAACGCTTACCAGAGATTACCAGAGGTTGTTTTCCAGATGCAAGTACTAAAGCTTGATCTTTGGGTGAGAGACACTGAGGCGGGAAACAGTGCTTCACCGCAAAAAGACTCACAGCCTCAGAGGTAGAGCAGGTACCGTGGCCGATTGGAAATGTGAGGTACAACCTTCGGCCGAGCGCAAAAGCAGGATCCTAGAATGCTGGTGTGACAACGTGTGCGGCCAGATCCAGCAACAGATCTCACAAACGGAGCTCGAACGCCAGGCTTTTGAAGAGGCCACGGAGAAGCCCAGCCAGGACTACATCGCGGTAGCCCGGGTCAAAAGATTCCTGAGACGAAGTCGATGACGAGGTAGGGTTGTCGTCAATGCCTGATCGATGATACCAAAAAAAACAAACAAAGCCACAAGAGTTGGCGTGAGGCAGAACCGCAAACATTCGGAGCGTAGAGACCGAGGGAGGAGAGACAGTTCAGATCAGTTGTAGGCAGTCTGTCGTGGATACTTGGGCAGGCCGGTGTTCAAGCTCCAGAGCTCAATCAAGTCGCGCTATTGTAGCGACAGTGCACGCAACCAACACGGTACTCGAACTCGAATTTGCCTTTGAGGGTGGAGACCGCTATGTTAGCGTGCCGCAGGGACGATTCATTTCCTGGCGGTTTCCGAGCAACTATGGTATTCGAGTTGCACTGGCTACGACATGCTGGTTATGTCGTTTGCCAGCATTACAATCAAAAGGGTATGCCGAGCCGGGATTGCAAGAAGAGGGCGATCGAATCCCAGCCACTGACTGGAATCGCGGACAATTTGCACCCGGAATGGAACTCCAAATGGTCCTGACAGGTTGCAAGAGTTTAGCAGATCTTGCATTCAAGATTTCGATACGTTGAGACAATCGGTGGCGATGGCGCCGCCGACCTTTCCCCTGAGAAAGGAGATGCAGCCGACTGGGCAGACACAGCGGCTCAACTCGCAGACAGGTTTCACAAAGCATGAAATTGGACCTTCGGTTCAAAGTCATTGATTCAGATTTGTTCTGCATAAGCAGACTTCAACTGTGAACACGGGACAACACGGGCAGAGAGCAGACGCCCCAAGCCGGCAGTAGTTTGAGTACTGACCATTGTGGCTGAGTTGTGTGGAGCCTCTGCATGCAGGCAATACCCAGTGTTTTGACCACTTGTATAATCCAGCGGGCAGCAGATGCCATTTGCGACAGTACTGCCTATGGAGTAAAGTCTCTGTCGGACAGCCAAGTGCAGGTTTTCAATACAACAGAACAGGTTGAATTTATGTGGCACCTCTGTCGTCTGCGTCATCCCAACTGTTTTCTCTCGTTGCAGGTTCGCTTGCATTCAGTTTTCTGGCTGCACGACATGCATGCACATGATTTTCAAGCTGTAGAGAACGTACGTCTATATAAGTCTTCGCACTTGTGCATGCTTTTCCCCGGTGGTACTGAACGTCAATTGTTGAAGATGCTGCGGTTCCGGGAAATTGACTTGTCAACGTGAGCTTCCCCGTGAAACGGAAAGCCCGCCAGTTTCAAAGCACGACTAGCTTGTTACTGTAAGACATATAAGCCGGGCATGACAAGTACGTCTGCAACAGTGGTGCGTTGCGAGGCCTTGCGGAAAGTCTTCGCATCAATCAAGGGCTACTACTTCCAGGCCGTGACGACTTGTTGTGCAAGGACGGTGGAAGTATTTTGCCAGTTTTGTGCGGCGCAAACCATAAAGTGTCTTTCGGTTTGTATGGTCCGCGGTTCAATGACGTAATATGGCCGAATCTCGACTTGGCATCCACCTGACCCAGTTTACCTGGTCCAACGTGGCAGGCGCTGTTGCGAAAGATCCGTGCATTGACCACGAGTGACAAGACCAGCAAATCCGTTCGCTTGTCGTATGATTCGAATCATATGCAGCTCACAACGGGCATACTCGCAGTGTTGCTTAGAGATGTGTTACATAAAGTTGAGCTGAAACTAGCAGGATTTCCCAACAAGTTGGAGAGGTTAAGTGAGAAGCTTTTTCTCATGGCCTGAATCCAGGTAATCCTTTTACAAGTCTCAAAGGCAACACAGTCACCATGCCGCATCTAGCGATATGCTTCTCCGATGCCTTTGTGGGCAGCTGAAAGATGCCGGGTCACGATCTCACGTTTGCCGTGTCCGCGTAGGCAGACATCCTTGGCCATTCCGTGACATGGCTGGCCCCCCATCAGTTTGCGCAGGCAGGAGCATGAGCTACTGTGCTTTGGAGGGAGTTTTGCAGACTCCAGTGCTGAGGAGCTTCCGGCGGAGGTCCCCGCACAAATTGTTCCTGCATAGTTGTTTTGCTTGCAAAGATTGATCGAGGTCGATTTTCGCGTCATGTTAACCTTCCTGGAATTTTATCGTGCCATGGTCAAGCCGGAGCCCAAGATCGCTGAAGATGGAGGCATCTTGGAGTGACTCATGGCTGAAGGTTTGTCAATTTCCGGTTGTATGGCGATCTTGGTCTTACATATCCGCCGAGGCCGTTGGAGCGGCTGTATTTACAAGACTCAACCCCTGCTAGCTTCGCAGTTCCGTTCGCTGGCCAGGCGGGATGCTGAGCTTGAGCGCACCTCAGCCGACGTGGCAGCCCTGGAGACGGAGATGAGGGAGGCCGTGATAAGCACCAAGCATTTGTTTACTTCCGCATGGCCAGCAATCGCAACAAGATCGTTGATGATACATTTTTTACGCGTTCACATGATTATGAGTATGTCTGTGCATGTACGTACACGTATATGAACATGTGTATATGCACGTGTATGTGTACGTGTAGGCACAATCTCATGCCCATGGCATGGGTAGGTGCACGGTTACCGGCACGAACACGGGCAGTGGCAGGGGAATTGGCATGGGCATGGGCATGCATAGGGGCATGGGCACATGCAGGCGCATCGTATCTATGTATCTATGTCTATGTGTCTGTGTATCTATGTGTGTATGTATGTATGTATGTATGTATGAATGAATGAATGAATGTATGTATGTATGTATGTATGTATGTGTGTACAAATATATATATATATATATGTAACATGTTGGTATGTATGTATGTTTGTAGGTATGTTTGTATGTATGTATGTATTTATGCATGTGTGTGTATGTATGTATGATTTATGTATGACCTATCTATATATGTACGTATGTATGCAATGCCAGTACTTGCGTATGTAAGCTTGTATGCACACAGGCATGCATGTATGTATGTATGTATGTATGTATGTATGTACTTATATTTTATGTATGACTTGTCTGTGTATGTATGTAGAAAGCAAGTATGTAGGTATTTGAGTATGTAATTATGTAAGTCTGTAAGTATGTAAGTATGCATGCATGTATGTATGTACGTCCGTAAGCATGTACTGTACGGTATGGTATGGTATGGTGTGGTAAGGTATGTGTGTATGTATGTATGTATGTATGTATGTATGTATGTATGTATGTATATTTAACTTATGTTTATTTATTTATATATATATATATATGGTGTGTATGGTATGTATGTATGTATGTATGTATGTATGTATGTATGCATGTACTTATATACTTACGTATCCGTTTGTCGATTGTAGCTTTGCATACCTTTGTGTGTCTGTGGCCGTACGTGCCCAAAGCAACCTACTCTGAATATAATTCTACACTTGATGGTACTAAACGTTGGAAACCTAATCTTTCAAGTGCTTTGCATACCATACTGTAGGTGTTCACTGGCTAAGCCTGTGCATGTCTACGCATGCACAGATAGGTACACATACCTTGATGGTCTGTCCCACCGAGGTTTCAGTGTAATTCAGCACGGTCAGTATTCATGTTGAAACGGGCAGGAAGATGTGAAAACGCTCATCCGCAGTCATTTTTCCTCCCTGGAGCAGCTCATACTGTACAGCCGTCCGGGCATGGCAGCATAGACGTGAGTACTTGTGCAACACGCAGCAACAAGAAACTTCAAGAAACCTCTGCTGGATGACTCGCAAGTCTTCTTCAGTCGGATCTCGGGCTTGGTACAACTTGTAAAAAGAGACCACGTCGCTGTCAGAGTGCACTTTTTCATGTTGCAGGAGCAGTTGTTTCAGCTAAGGAGTTTGACAATAAGTCAGATGAGGAGTGTCCCGTTCGGTGAAAACGCTGGTATAGTAGGCAGACGACAACAAAAAATGCTTCCAGCGCAGATCAGTGCTTGTTAGCCTGGCAGGCTGGAAAAGCGCAGCAGCTGCACAGCCAGGCCTTGCTGCAGTGGGCATGTGCGAGGTCAACGCAAAACTTGAGGTCCAATCCACCCCGAGACATTGCGCAAAGCAGCTTGCGAGTGAACATAATTGCGACACAGTCTTTTGCGGACTCGTGGCGAAGTGGTGGGACATGTGGCCGAGCCATTTTCACAAAACACGGCTTGATGGGAATGTGCATTGTCCATATTCAGCAGTTATTCTATGGGAATAGTTTCTGCTGCGCTGCCACGTGGCAGGATAGCACCGACATTGCGACGAGTGCACTCAAGGACTTCGGAGATGAAAGCGAGGCTGTTGTTTTGCATGTTTTGCCCTGCTCGGAACGGGGTTCGAGCAACGAAGGCTGCGGAGATGCAGCAAAGTTTGGCGAAGTCTGGAAGAGTGAAGACCCTTGGCAGACTTCTACAGTGTCTAGCGCACGCCGTAAATTGCAGGTCCCAAGGTAGCTCTGAGATCTTCCCAATTTGTGGGGCATGGTGAATCTGGATTGGCTTGGCCTTGTTAAGCAGGAAGACAAAGGTCTTCTGTGGGCATGCATCGTGGTCCTGCAACTAAGGACGACGTTCAGAGGTCTGCGGGTCTTCATCAACCGGGAAGTGCCACTGAGGATCTCCGAGCTGTGCATCGAACGTGTTCGTCTCCCGTAACGCACTTCTTTTGCAGGCCCTTGTACTTCGTTCTTCTTTGCGGCGGAGTTGCTGAGGCACGATGTGTCAGGTGTAAGGTTTTCGGGAAGGGAAAGCTGATGCGTCACGTACGTGGCCTTCTGCCAAATCGCACCAGAAGTTGTCGTTCTTGCCGTGCACTGTTGTTCAACTACAAACCAGTGAGACGAGTGAAATTTACCAGGGTAAGCGTGGGAGTTGCATTTTCGGAGCATTTGTGGCTAGTTTCTCAGCAAGATGTGTTTGGTTTTGGTCAGAACGTTATGACGGCTGAGCTTCCAAGTTTGGCAGCGATCGAAGTCGATTCTATTAAGACTTCTACCACCGCTTTTAAGGTACCAGCAGCGATGCAAGCATAAAGATTGCTGATCGAAAAACTATGCCACCAAATTGGGTTCAGCACAACGGATATATAATCGTACGTCAGAACATTAGCTGGTCAATTTCGGGAGCTGGAAACGCTTTCCGGGAAGCCGGAAATTACCTCCGGGAGCTAACAAGCCTTGAGCTCAAACTGGCATAGCAAATCAAAAACATGTGGGTACCAGACTGATGTTCTCTTCGGAACCAGGTACGGGGTTGTCCTGGACGGCACTGAATGTGTCAAGATCTGCTTCAGGACAGCACAGAATGGGTTTCTCGAGTTTCGTGTGTTCCAAAAGAAAGCAGGAGGCCAGGGCGGACAAAGAATGAAATGAAGCATTGGTTTGAAAATGAGAAGTGAAGGACACGGAATCTGTTTTCGGAATGCCAAAACATGGCCGAGACATGAGAAGCTTCAAAAGGCTTCAAGGGTCGAGTATGCTCTTAGTCTTAGACAGAGCTTCCCAAAATTTTTTCTACTTTAAGGAGCTCAAGGAGGCCCTGCAATACACAGGAAGATCCTAACAGGCTCCAAAGAGGGACTGAAAGGCAGTGATAGAATCGGAAAGAAACAGCAGCAGGCAAGGGAGTTCCCCAAGGTTCCGCCGAGGCCAAAAGAGCCAACAGTTATCTATATTCTGGAAGGTCTGTCGATCAAGATTGTCAAAAAGCTGCATGTTCAAGTTGCTTAAACCTCCCAGTCTGCCCCGGGAATCAAAATAATCTTGGAGATGCTGAAAAAGCTTTTGGGAGGTGCCGAAAAGCCCAGCAACCTCAAACGGCCGCGGGCATTTTCAAAGGTCGGGAAAAAGATGCAACAACTAAAGAGCGCTGTTTTATTGTAGCAACTGTTCGTCAATCTCCTTGCCTGCCCACGTACCACTGCACAAAGACGCCAAACTGCCGAACTTGAATGTCATTAAACTTGATTGCCTTCCCGCCTGCCTGCCCTGATAGCATGTGGCAGACGGAGTAAACTGAACAAGTTTTGAACTTTCTGAAACATGGCCCGTCCAGGTGCAATGCATCAACAGGAGTGCGGCGTTCTCAACCCCTCCTGAGGGAGTTTGTAATGTAAACGTTAAGATTGGTTGGTCCGCATCAGCTGGGGTTCGGTGCGCGGCAGTGGCGCGTCAGTGAATGCGTCAGCGAATATCGAAAATGCCGGTGCGCTAGATCCTCCACAGCGCGTGTCAGCAATGCGATATCTTCCGCACTAGTACCATCTTTTTAGAACGGCATGAAAGAAGGAACGCCCCGACCGCAACAGAAACTTGTAACAAGAACAGGCCCCCGAATCGTAACGCCAACCCGGTGATTTCCGTAACAGTGTGGGGGCAGCCGTTTGTAACAGGAGCCTGGGCCTTTGGCTTCGAAGTGTTGGGGTTAGTGTCAGGGTTTAGGGTTACCGGGGCGGTCCATGGTTCAGCGGTTAGGATTTAAAGGTTTAGGGTTTGTCGGATTGAAGGTTTAGGTGGAGATGGTAGGAGACAAACACATACGCACACATGAACATATCTGCAATCAGTTCAATCTCTCATGCATCACTGGGAACCTATGAAAATGAAACTACAACAATGGCAAAAGCTGTTACGAATGTCAGCCTGCCTGCCCCTCAGCCTGCGTCTGCATGCGAGAAATACGTATAATTATGCGTAAGATTGCATGGTGTGTGCACCCGCTGAGTATGTGTGTGTGTGCGCGTGTCCCGATGATTCCCAATGCATCGCAATCTTTATCTAGTCCTATCTGCTTCAGGCCCGTCCGAGGGGGGCCGTTTTCGGTCCACTGCTTTGCGAGCGTGAAAGTCTCCTGCCCACGCCTTGCTGGTTTTCGATGGCAGTTCCTGTTCCGTTTATCGCTCGTGTCACGCTGGTCGCCTGGTTGCTGTTACTGTGGCCGCATGTTTCTGTTACAGTGTGCGAGATCGGCTCCGCTACTCCCCAAATCGGTTCCCGTTACTCCCGGCACCCCATCAGCCAGTGCGCTAGCCTGAAAACATTAAGTGATTCAGGTTTTAAGAACTAGGACCTCTCGGCTTGGGATTTAGGGTGACTGTTGGCGCATCTGACACAGCGGCCACTCGAGTATCATGCTAGCACAAGTCACACTGTCACGAATCTTTCGGGCAGACGTGTAGCGCGTAATGATGATCTGGTGATTAATTGTTTGGTGCACATGTATGCCAGATTCCATCAGAGACATACCCGAAAGCAGTCTGAAATGATGTGGTCCATGGCCGATGCCGAGATGCCAACAGTGCCACTGGCACAACAGGCTGAGATTATGAACGAGTGCACCGCAGCTGATGTGCGTGAGTCGGCAGTACCTGTTGTTGAGCTCCCTCTCATGCCATGGCTAGAGGCCAACTTGAACTTGCTGCATTGCCTCTTCTTCGTTCTGGCCGCCGCCTTTCTGCCGTCTGGTTCCCTTTGCCACGCCGGCCTTCGAATTCCAGTTCGACACCCGGTGCTCAGATCTCCCGGAGCTCGCCCTGGGCCATGCTTGCCTGAGCCCAGCTGATTCTTATTGGCCCGCGTGGTTTCTTGAGCGGCGTGTTTCTCTTTCGCCACTCTTCTCTTTCGCGGCTTGAGGTATTCGGACTCTCAGGTATTCGGACTCTCGCGTTTTATCGCTCTGCATCATGGCTGACCCTGAAGACTCCCACGGACGGTCATGATGAATGCCATCGGCCCCGCTTTCTCTGCCGCAGCTGATGTATCCGGTGACCGCGCCGCTCCCGCTCCCTTTCTGCCTCATTTCACTCCGACCTGCCGGCCAGAAGCAGAAGATGATGAGTCCGCCATGGCCGAGCCGCCCATCGCTTCGACAGAGGTGTCTGCTCCGTCCGTTACTGCTACTGGATCTGCGCTGGAAACTGTCGCGTGTGCACGGCCCAGTGCCTGGACGGAAACATCTGCTATTCATCTCAGGGTATGATTCCTGCACTACAGGTCTCAGGGCTCCCGCCCAACCACTCCTGCCATGTCAAGGCTGAGTCTCCGCCTCGGGAGTCCCACCGCAGCGACTTCGCCTCCGGGATCCAGTTCTACTGATTCTATTGTGATGACTACTAGAAGGCATTTTGTATCCGGCACAGACCTTCCTGCGGCGAGTGCTTGGTAAACTGTTTGTTGAGCACCCCGTCCCTTACACCAGCGCGACTCTGCACCCCTAAATTTGTTGAGTATGAGTTGAGGGCGAGGAGCAGCAGCGGCCAGAACAGGAAATCTGAAAGCGGAATCTGTCACCGTCGCTCCAGCGGCGCCGGCATGAACAGATGTTGAACGCAGTGTGTAGTGTCCTGGTAGTGGGCTTGAATGCTTAATTATGCTTAATTGGTACATCGTGCACCATGTGCAACGTTTTCACAGAGTTGTTCAATCCGTGCGGTCCTGTGAACTGCCAGTGCTTAGTAGTCCTGCGCGTGCAGCGAGAGCCACAACGATGGCGCACTGATATTTGGGGATGCTGTCACTATTGCAGAAGGCAATCAGAATTTCTGAGTGTTATTCTGAGTTATAGGAGGATGCAATGACAGTCTCATGACCATTGGCTATCGTGTCAAACTGGCTGACTTCTCCGATTTGCATGCGTCATGCATGTTTTGGGGATGGTGCTGGTGACATATCTGAGTTGAGTTGCTGGCTTACCGACAACTTCCTTTCTGGTACCGAAGATAGTCTGTACGTGCCAGCATCGACATCCATCTACAGATTTGGTTATTGTTCGTTTCGGTGTGAATTCGGGTGAACGGGCTGCGATGAGCTGGTGGAACAAAGGGCAGCAACTCTTGTCCTGTGGGAACGGGTGAGTGAATGGGTGCATCAAATCCAACAGTCGCAGGGTTGAACAGGACAGTTGAAGCCTTATGATTCCCATGGTAAAGCCGTTTTTTGCCAGAATCACTCTACAATCCTGTGTCAGGTGGGCTGGGAGCGAGGGGCGCAAGCTGGTAAGTCCGCCGGACCCGGGTCAGCTTTTCCTGTGGAAGGTGGCCGTGCTCATGATGTTTTTCTTTTGGCCCTGTGTGGATGCCAGGTGAAGCCATTACACATCAAGTAGTTGATCGGCCAGCAGGTTCCTGTGAAGTGCGACCTGGCCGTGGCCTCATCTCAACGGCCACCTTGGCGATGTCTTGAGGATGCCTCTTTAGCGTTGGACTCAGGCCGTGAGTACGTTCAGCCTCAGTGGATCTTCGACTGCTTCAACATAGGAGCACTGCCAGCGTTAAGGTTTCTTATTTTGTGACCTTGCTCAGACACTTCGTAGTACGGCTTCGTCTTTCAATCGCCTGATTTTCTGGAACGACCGACAACCAGGCAGTGCAACCTGCTTTTCTGCAGATGGGAGGCTGCCTGCTGCCAATTGCTCCATACGCGCCTGGCCGCACGCCGCCTTGTCCCTAGCAGGATGAGTACAGACAAGTCGAAAATTCCCGTTCCTGCGTACCGTTGAACTTTCCGCGGCTGCTGCACTGTCAACCTGCTTACGTCGGACGTTACAGTGGTGGACCTGAGGCCGCCTCACCTTTCACCCTTCGTGGATGCTTGCCCGCCTCGCTTCTACACCCACTAGTGCAAGCATAGACGTCATTCCTGAATCATCAGTGACACGGTCACCTACAGTGCCAGGACAAAGCCGAAGGTTATGTGCCACGGCAGCGCGAGATTTTGGATCGATTTGCTGCCGAGGACGGTCGGCTTGATTGCTGCCTGTTGATGTGTGCTCGTGATGGACCCTTGCCTGAAGGTGTCTGGGCAGAAGGATGGTGAGAAGGCACTGGGTTCAGCCCCTGCGGCTTGTGCGAGCGACGCATCTAGAGATCTGCAGGATCGAGACGAAGCCGTCTCAAGCGCAGCCGCTGGCAGCAGCATGCAGCACTTCGGGGAGGATTGCGTCTCCGCCAGCGCACCCGTGTTCGTTTCATATATGACTTGTGAGGAGTTGCAGGCAGAGTCAGAAGGTCTTTGGCACTCCGAGCCCTTGCCCTAGATCGTGCTTTCTTCAGAATAGACCACGACGTGTTGTTCCCGCTCGAAGCGCAGGAGAGAGGCTTGAACAGGCATGTGCGGCGGTCAGCCTTGAGCTTCTTTCTGTCGTTTGTTACGAGGACTGAGTTGATCAGCTTTGCCCCAAGAACACCGACAGAACAGTAGACGGTGCTGCCAGTGGGTTCCCAAAGCTCCACCTTGCAGCAGTTCAATTCAGCGCTGAGCAGAAATGTGTGGGATTATGTCAGCATGTATGTATCATCAATCGTAGGAAAGCCACCATGCAGCCAGGCCAACATTCGGTCGAAACACAGGATTTGCCTTTGGGGAGGGACAGCCCATTGTCTGCTTGTTGATGGAGGAGAGAGGAGAGTCACCGATGTTTGCGTTTGTTTGCACCAGACAGACTTTGGGCTTGTTACATGAGTGTGAGCGGGAAGTAGCAGGGTCAATGCGGCAAGAAGTTGACCTGACGCAGATAGAATCACAGCTAAGCTTGAGTCACCAGCGCAGTAGCTGTTCGCATCATGCCATTTTGCACGTGTGCTGAAGTGAACCGTCAATGACCCATTTTGGAGTTTGGACTCTGATCTCCAGTCAGCGAGCACAAGACAGCCGTGCATGCTATTTAAATCTCCCAACTGATCCCCCAAATCTGTCAACATGTGGACTGTCGCGTGAACGTTTCATTCCGTCCTCATCGCATCATGGTCGCTGAGGAAATCTTGAATGCACGACTTTGCATTTGACGAGTCGACGAGCCGAGAAGAAGCGGTCAGACATCCCGAAACCAGCTTTACCGCTCAACATGCATGTAATGCATTCTTCGCGTTTTTGCAAGATCTCTAAGCTAGCCTCTTCCGGTGATTTGGTAGCAGGATGTGAAACGTGGTTGTTACCGACGACATGTATAGATTTCGCACATTCGGAGTTTGCAAGGTTCAGGAAACAGCGCGAAGAAGCGGCGGCTGCGAACATGGCGGCTGCCACACAGGAGGCTGTGGTGTGAATGATTTCCGTGGCATTATGTGCATTCATGAACGGTCGCACGAATTCATGAAAGTGCATCATGATGTTGCGTTGGTAGGATTCTGCGGACGTGGATGTTGGCATGCGGCCAGCTCACAGGCATGATGTGCTATGTTTGCTTGAATTGGCTAGGTAACCAGCTCACAGTGTTTTACCGAGCTTGAGGCCTTCCGAGGAAGAAGAGGAGCGACTACGAGCAAAAGTGACTATGATTTGAAAGAGATTGTTGAATATATTGATTTTCTTTGAAGCCTGCCGGCAGCTGCAACGTGAATTTGGCCTTATCCTTTTGCATGGCTGGCGAATGGATTGAAAGCTTGTCGACATCAGACTGTGATGGATGCCGAGATTCCAAAGACAAGGGTCTGTGCTAGAATAAACTGGGGAGTCAAAGATCAGTGGTAGATTAAGTGGTCTAGAGTGATTGTAACTTATCAAAAACCAGACTGACTGAGGCATTGATGCCAAAGAAGCACAAGCGATTGCTACAGAGGATTGAGGCAGCTGAAGCCAAGCGTGAAGCTGCAAGCAAGAGGCCCGCGGCCCCGCTCTCTGCATGCGCATGGTGCTTTTTTGGACTCACGAGTTGAGTTTGCGATTCCGCAGGCTAAAGAGGAAGGCTGAAGCCGCAAGCTCTTGAGAGAATGCAAGCGGAGAACAACACATTTGCTTTCCAGGAAGCGCAACGTGTCACCCTCTTAAGCCGGGATGCCAGCAGCAAAGTGCATTCCGCGAGACAACACTGTGTGTCGCTGCTTGTTTAGTTGCGTAGACATGTCCTGCACGGAGTGTGTGCCGAGCATTGAGCCGAGCGTCCAATTCATTTGGCTCAGGATCTAAGCACGATATGATGGGCTTATGTCAGGAAGCATGGCCAGACGGACATGCTGACCAACCCTTGGCCGACAGCCAAAATCGCATAGAGAGTCAGTCCAATTCCAACTTCAATTAACATGGGTGCAGCAGCGAATCGGTGCTGTGCCTCTGAACGTCCGCCCCGGCTCTGGTTTTCCCCAAGCTTTGCGAGCAGCGAGTGCCTTATGTGCCCTTCCGAGCAGCCAGGTGACCGAGGCCAGAGAGGCCAGGAAGCCGATCGACGAGTTCGCTTCGACGGGGAGGCCGCTTCGTGGTTCACACGGCAGCAGCAGTTGAGCGTGTGTGTGTGATATTGTGTGTGTGTACTTGCTTGTGCAGTTCAACTAGCTGAAAGCAACAGTAGCTTGCCAGTGGCTGTGTTGGCTTCGTGATGCTGACGGAGTAAGTCGCATGGCCTCGTGATGTGAGGATGCGCAGATGACTTCGTCTGAGAAGGTCCAGGTGTCTCGCAATGCACTGCATGCTAGCCTGGTTCAGACTTCTGACACGTGCTTTTCATGATTTTTCATGCTTTGGTCCGGTCTTTTCAGTACTTGACATTGGGGCTTGGGCCAGGTTCTCAGACGTGCTAGTCGGAGTGACAGAGCCTCCACTGCGGCTGCGAGCAGGCGTCGCCATTGCAGCCATTACATCGCAATCCCCCCTGACAAAGAGCCTCCAGCAGCTCTTCCCCCTCACTGCTTCAGTGTGTTGTTGGCTGCTGCTGCTCGAGGACAGGAGACAGTTGAAACGTCATCTGGTTGGGAAGATTGTACTCAGCTGGCTGTGGAGCTGTCTCGTTGGCGTGCCAATGCTTGCAGGCCTCCTGAGCCAGCTCCGGGATCCCAGGCATGACACATTGAAGCTTCACGACAAGTTTCCGCGTGGATTTGCGTTTTGCAATATTTTGCATGTGTGCAGAGAACAGACTGGATGACCGCCATCCGAGTCTAGCTTCACGGAGCAGGCCTCCACGGAAGCAGCCCAAGCGAGCCAAGTTGCTTGATTGCATATTGTCTGATGACACTCGTCATGCTGCTGTCGAGGTGCCTTGCCGAGAGAAGCACATTGCATGTCACAGTTTGCTTGCAAAGCTTTGATTTCTCATGCAGCCTGGCGGCCATGCACAAACGAAGACTCTGTCTTGTGCGGTGAGATCATGGACTGTTGTTCAAGCACGAAATCTCGACACAGATATTCGGACTACGGCTGATTAGCATGCCGTCGAGTGGTTTGGCCCCAGGTGGTGTTAGCAGCAGAGGAATTTTGATTAGCATTTCTATCACGACATGCCGAGCAGGGTCTTGCAGCCATCAAGCCGCAGTCAAGCCTCCATCTCGTATCGCTTTCATTCTGATCCACCCAGCCATGATGTAGTGGCAACGGAAGCATGTAGTTTAGGGCACTCCAGAGCCACTGTTGGTCGTCTGACCAGACCGTATAAACTACTTCACCGAGAAAAGGGTAATGCATATGACGTCGTATGGTGCACCACGACGCTCCGCAACTCTCTGAATTCACCGACCTGTTTTTCAACAAGCCTTGAAAGTTTCAGAACGGACGATTTCAAGAAGACACCAGCGACAAAGAACAAACCAGGCCAACACGGCCAACCGCACACAATATCTCAGGAACTCATCCTAGACGCAGCACCGACAAGTCATGCAGCCAGGATGTAACACACCGTGCGACCACTATCTCCGACCTCAGCAATGTGCCTTGTTTCTGATACAAGAAAGTCCGTCTCTCGTGAGCATCACTATATCGAGATCTCAAGCTTCTGCAGGCGCAGATAAAGCCATAAAAGCTGCGATGCCTTGGTTGAAAGACGGTCCGCGTTCTTTCCAAAAAATATGGATTCACCACAGCGGCTCTGAAACAACAACCTAGACTTACTGCGATGCGGCATGTGAAACTCTCAGTTCAGTAAAGTTGACAGACAGAACCCAGGGCAAGGAGCCATACCTGGCAGGATAGATGTTGCATCGCGCATTTTGATTTTGTGATATTTGCATGTGTGCAGTTAGCCCGAGAGGAAAACATCCTTCCACGCTAATCGGGGTCGCCCGTGCAGCAGTTGAGCTTCACTTAGCTTTGCGTTGGTGAAAAAGCAAAGCAGTCCACGAGAGTCAAGTTGTTAGACCCGTCCGTCCTCATCACTTTTGCCTTCTTCAGTCTGCATGTACTTCGCACACAGCGTGGAGTCATGACATCCGCAAGTGACATGTGAGAATAGTAGAGGTGACGAAACATGAAGAACCATGGGTAAACCAGATGAGTTTCCAGTCCGTGAAAAGTTACAGCACTGATACTGCAACCAATATTCGTCCAATCCGTTCCTCCTCGGTGCCCTATTTCTTTGGTCGAAGAGGTGGCTACTCGTAAGAAGGTAGCTTCAAAAGGTATCATGGACTTTGGGCATGCATTTAGTGGCAGTGAATCTACGCAGATGGCGCGACGTAATGACAGGGATCCACCATGGACCATGTACGCATGGGAACATGGTATGCGGCATGGGAGAACAGGTAGTTGTGTTGCATGTGTTTGGAAAGTGAAGCATTGAGAACCCAGCATCTGGTGTCTCGATCAGGCATTTTACACGTTGGCAGTATTTCTCCGGCTTTGCGAAATCTCAACTCAAAAGCCTTCTTCCGTTTCCTACACCTGGCGTTGTTTAAGTGCCTGATCCTGCAACAGCCACCGCTAGCCAGTTCAACGCTGTAGGCTAAAGGCGGGTGACTGACCGAGGCTCGAACTTCCGCTGCGCGGCAGAAGGGAGCCAGACTGCTCAAGGCCGTTAGAGCCGAACACAAGCTTATCGTTCTTGTGCAAATCGCTTACCACCTTGCAAGGCTGGCATTAAGACTGGTGAGGCTGGATGCGATTTTGCTCATGCTGCCAAACACCAGCCGTCTTTAATTTTCCTTCGCGAGCATGTACATAGTTTTTGGATTGTTTGTGTTTAGTAAAAAGAACTCTCCTGTGTTTACTGATTGTGCAAGTGCCCGTGCACGTGGGTGCCACAACCTATCGGACTTCATCGCTCCGTTGGTGGTGCAGCACAGCACGGTTTCTTGTCAGCAAGCCTTGTCATTGGCAGCTGCAATGCCGCTGTTCGGTATCCATTGCGTAACATGTCGAGCCCGCTTTGACGCCGAAAGTTTGTCTTCGTCTTCCTTTGGCTGTCTCGGGCCTGTCATGGTCCAAGACGGCCGAGACACTGACAAATGAAACTACTCGAAAAGACCATTTAGCAAATCCACTGGCTTACCAGCGTTTTGGCTGGTGCGAAACTGTTAATAGTCGGTTCAGCTATGCTATCGACAGAGCTTCCTGTACCAAGGAGAACAAGACCACCATGACTCCCCTGCCTAACAGGAGCCTAAGAATACCAAGCAGCATCGTGGTGAAGGATTCGGCACAGTCAGAGTGTGGAAGGATCGAACTGTGTCGGGTTCTTCGTGTAGGCCAACAAAGCAGCGTTCGCCTTCATGGCTTTCATCAGAAAGCCGCGGGTATAGAGCAGCTTGGTGCTTGATGCACCATCGGGTATCCGTGTACGGCTTCCTACTTGTTGTGTGCCGCGATGTCGGCTCAGGAGCACGAATCTTGTTGCTGCCCATGGTGCAAGTGCGTGTCCTCTCGATCGACTCGATCTCCAAGTGTCCTGGACTTTCTATGAGCACAGGCTAAGGTCGCCCGGGATGTGATCGCAAAGAAGCTGTGCAGCGAAGTGTGCCGGATGAGGAAACACGAGGGGAGGGACGCAGCAGGAGAGGACAAGCGAGGCATCGCTTGGGGAACCGGTCTTCCTTGCGAAGTGGAAGAACAGCTAGACGAGGGCTATGTGGGTTGCGGCTCAATCTGAAGGAAAGTGGCGAATGGAGTCTAACACCGTGGAGTCACGAGTCTTGCGTCCTAAATCGCCTAGACTGAGCTAAGAGCGACTAAACTTGCGTAACCACAGAAGGAGTGCAGAGTACTCTTGAAGCAAGACAGCGGCAACAAGCCACGAGACAATCACCAGTCAACGTCCAGTCTTTTCAGAGACGAGAAGAGCAAGATTGCAGGCACACCCGAAGCAAGTCATGGGAAGCAATTGCATGGAAAGCCCAGTGACAACAGCAGAAGCACGACACAACAGAGAAACAGTGATAATTTAGTGTGCCTGCTCTATACTTTCTGTGATTGTGGGCTATCAACCTAGCGAATTGTTCTTTTGCGGATCGTCCATGTTGTAGCGCTTCTCTTCGGAGCTTCTCTTCGGATAACGGTTCCCGATTTTGTGTTCTACGAGCTGTCGAACAGGCCGAGGATGTTGGTGTCGGTTTTGACTTTGGTGGCAGGGTGTCGAGGGAGTGCAGTGGTGCAAGAGGGTGCTTGACACAGAGCATGCAGCTGTGCTGCATTGCTTCATCAACATCAGGTTCCAAATTCGACTGTAGCGGCGGACATTAAGACTTGCACAGTTCCACCCTTCAAGCTTCCAGTTTGGATGTTGGGAAAGCTTGCGTGGAAGGTCAGCAAGCTGGTTGATGCCAAGGAAGCCGAAGAGGTTGGTGCCTGCTCATGTTGATTATGTGATTGGTGTTTTGCAGTCGTTGATGTTTCCGCTGATCCGACTATGATGCAGTGGTCTGCTGTTGAAGCAGATCCCAGAATGGATGCTGCATGACAAAGCACTCGTGCTACACGCTTGTCAGGCAGCCAAGACAGGCGCAACAGCTGCGACCGGTGAGGCGAGGCCGACCCGTTTTTGCAGATTTGCCTGCTGTGTGTTGGTGC